ATCAATTATTAAAAGTTTAAGCAATTGTGGGAAATAGAGTTTAAGTTAAGTTAAATTTTGTTATGCAATTATATTATTAATTACAATTAAATATGTCCGTAGTTAAAAAAAAAAACATAATTAATGTCCATTAGCCATCACTTAATAGTTTCAAATATAGTGTAATGTATAAGCATAAAATAATGCAAGTAATATAGTTTATTTAATTTGCCAAACACTTACAAATCTTCTAAAATCTTCCTACGATGTGCCATTAGCTTCCTAGATTTGTTATTGTATCTTCTGATTAACTGATAAGAAAGTATCCCTCTTCAATTATAATTATTATATAACTTTAACTGAAACTGAAAAGAAATAGGGTAACATGTTGGTAGCCCCTCGCTCGCTCGTTTCTTTTACTATCGTTTGCACATATTATTGTAATTATGCAACATTCTTTGTGGGACATAAATACTTGGTCTTGTTGTAATCATAACAAATCGTGGGTTTCCTCCATGTCTGCAGTGCATATTTGTTGACATAACAAATAAATAAATAAATGAAATAAAATTAAAATTTCACCTGCTTCAACAATTTGAACAAACTGGCGCACTGTGCGACGCCCAAGTTTCCAGAGCAAACAATCCCCAACTTGCCACCTCACGTGCTGTGCCGGCTGCTAGCAGAGCTTGTTGCTGCCGCTACTCGTAGGTTTGCCATAGTTTTGCGGTTTGGGTTTGGGTTTGTCATTGTCTTGAACCTGAACTCCACTTTGTTACGGTTAAAATGTAAATAAATATTTCGTGTTTATCTTTGTATACAAAAGATTTATTACAATAAACATTGTTCGCTTCTCTTTCAAATATTTATTTTTATTACATTTTTCAATTTACGTTTTGTTTTGTTTTCATTTCATTTAATTTTTTTCTTTTTCTTCAGTCCAACTAGCGGCGCTGGTTTTGATTTGGACTGCGCTTGTGCAATGCGTGCTGCTTTCATTGTTATAGTTTTTGTTGTTGTTGTTGTTGTTGTTGTTGTTGTTGTTGTTTTGGCTGCTGCTGCCGCTGCTGCTGTAACAATTAAAACAACAACAATAGCAGATGCAAACGCAGTCGCAGTGTCCATGTCCGTCCATTTGCAATTATGTGCTTCACTCAAAGAGCGCATGCGTTAAGTGCTGCCTTGCGGTACTTTGTTTTGTTTTGTTTACACTGGGGCTCTTGTTAGTGTTGCTATAAGTATTTTGTGCATTTAAAAAAAAAATGCTATCATGACAGTTGCGTGGATTATATAAATCAGCCGCGCCAGCCAGAGTTTATTAGATGCGCATCATTATTATTGCTCATACGCCACGTGATGCGATCGAAATTTTCGATTAGTCACAAATCAAGCGTTGCGTGCCACAAACCTTGACTTACCATTGCCTGTGCTTAAAACAAAGTCCGACAACTCACATCCAATGACAACCCATGTCTGCGCAATTGTGTTGCGGCAATATGAACCGCTCAATGGATGCAACAAAAGATGCAAAATAACAAATGAAAAGATGATTTTCCTGAACAAAACAAAAGAGGTAACACAAATTTACTTCATGTGTGTGTATGTGTATGTGTATATGTATGTGTATGTGTATGTAACACATACGTTTGGTGGTATGGTTACATGGACTGGAAGATAAGCATGGAAATCAATTTTGAAAATGCACACAGCTCGCTACCTTTTGTCTGTCCAAATAGTTGGACAAAGGTGTTAGATTCTATGTGGCCTTGGGATTAGTTTTGTGCATGTCATACACATAATTATGCAGTTATTATGTGTGTGGCTTTATTCCTTAAATCAATAAAACAGAAGCATGGGCCATGAACTAATTGGCAGCTGATTGTTATACATATGTAGCTATTTTTGTATGATGGAAAAACAAAGGCTTATGGAGCCAGAAGGCGGATCTCTTCAGAAATTAAATAACATTTACAATCTCCTTTAATTAAAGGGGATACAAATTAATTTGTTTCTAACAACTATTGAAGACCCGTGCAGCGTTCAGTGATAAAGATATTGATAATGTAGCGATGGTTGATAGTACCCATGATAAATGACTAATGGCTTTGTTTGTATCAAGAGCTTATGCTTTGCCCAAGGAGCTCCCCACGGTAAACAGAACTTTATGAAAAAAAGCTATTTCTACAACTGTTTTTCATAGTTATATGATAATCGGAATGATAAAATTCAAGTTATAGATCACAGTAACACTATCGCTATCGTTCATCGTTCAAAAATGGCTAAAAATTGGTAAAAAATCAACACTTAAAAGTCATTATTAAGAAGTCAAATAAAGACGACGACTTCTTGTATATTAACGTGACTGGTGATGAAATGTAGTTTTTTAATTTCAATACGATGCTGAAACGAAGCGTCAAAATGCTAAAAGGAACATCTAAAATAAGCCAAAAACTGAAAAAGTCAAAAGCTAAGACAATTCAACCTTGTTTTGGTTTTACAATACAAAGAGAGCTATTTATCGAAATTATTAGGAATTTATGACTAATTTTTTGACAATAAAACGCACTTTATTTGCCTGACATGAATCCGTATGATGTTTATCTTATCGGAAATTTACATTTACCCACGAAAGGAAAGTGCTATATAAATGTGGAAGGCTTATACCACCATTTTGAGGAGCCAGTCGGCCAACACATTCCTTTGGAATGCTTCTTGATCGTGCAAAACGCTGTATTCAATCGGAAGGTGATTATTTGAAATTAAATAAAAAACAAAATTTCAATTCTGTTTTCCTTTTTTTAAAAAGTCCTGTGAGTTTGTTGAAAACTATCTGGAAAGTTCTGGTTAGTTATTGTATCTATTTTACATTTGAGATCGATTCATACTTAATTGAATGGAGGCTTAATTAGAAGTATTGCTGAATAATATAAATACAAAATGCTCTGTATGTAAGTGTAATCATATTAATTAATGAGTATTCATCATAATTTATTTGGGATCCGAAAAAAAACTTGAAAAACTTGGGAATGGGAACAAGCCCCAACCACCCTTAAAAGTTCCCACATAAATCAGAAATGCATAAGTTATGGTGAAAGGTGTGGCTGTATAAATATTTTTAAAATATGTTATTAACAAAAACACTCATGCTTCTTAGCAACATACATATTTTAACAACAACAACAACAAGTAACTAAATAAATGAAACATATGTATTCGACAAGCAAGCAGCCTTGTCACATTTTTCTGCAGACCGTTTATTACAGTCGCATTGCAACAATGTCTATCTCCAGCTGGGGATCAGTTAACAATTGGCAACCATCTCGTTGCTTAATTGCACATAAAAAGCTGAGCTGCAGCCTTTGGGCCAACATTACAAGCGAAGACGCCCGCCCATTTAAATGAAACATGCCTTGACTATTTGCCAAAACTCGGCAACACCATTAACAAAACTGTTATTAGGGTATATTGTGTGTACTGGAAACAGCCGACAAAGCAACAGTTGCTGAAACAGAAACAGCAACAGCAACAGCGACAACAACTTGCCTCAAATGTTTGCTTGAACTCGAACTTTTAATATGGTCGTTGTCTTTTTGGTATTTTTGGCGCATTTCGCCGGCAACCGGCAGTTACCTAATCAGCGCAATGTCTAGAGGCAACTGCAACGGCTGCTGCCGCTGTTGCTGCTTCCTCAGCTCGTAGCCTTATTTGGGGCCATATGCTTAGCGCCCGAGAGCGATCGAGCCGGCGTCGACGTTGCAGTCGGCTTCATTTTTGGCACACAAACACAGTCGCGCGTCAATTAAAGCGGCATGTTGCAACTGCCGCCGACCGACTGACTTGGTCTGTTGCCTCCCACTCCGCCCACTCCTCTTGGCCCACGGTTCACATTCAACTTCAACTTGGCATATGCAATGTGTAAACAACAGGAAGTTAATGTGCAGTTGCTGTTGCTGTTGCGGCTTATCTGCATTGCTGCTGTTGGAGTCGCGGTTGCTGGGATTTGAGATGCTTCCTTGAGATTTATTTGGCATCTGGCATCGGATGCTAAATGTTGCCGACGTAACTGCTTTGCCTTCATTAGGTTCGCGGAACGTGTGCAGCAAGTTCAGCTGCATTTTGCTGTTGCCTCGCCTCAAGCCCATGACGATGTCGAAGTCGATGCCGATGCCGATGCCGATGTCGGATTACAATGGAGGAAGAAAAACTTTGCCAATTTGAAATTGAATTGAAGAGCGTCGTTGTCGCTGGGCCTGTTTTTGTGGCCAGCCTGTTGCTTCTTCTTTTATTGCGGCACTTATCTAACTTCCGCATGTCATGACGCTTGATATTTTATGAGTTGCATCTTCGTGGTAATAGACTGGCTTTTTCGGCACACCGTTGCGCAAGAGATGTGGCCAATGAAAGTAAAAGGAGCAGGCGATATTATTCACCATCACACGATCCATTCGTACTCCAAAGGCCTAGTACAAGAAGCGGCCATAAACTACGTTAACAACGCATTTATGTGCAAATTTTTTCCAACGCGTAATTAAAAGTAATTGATTTATGTTTTTGTTTTTTTTTTTAATTTTATTTTGTTTACACATGAAATTTTGTACAATAGTATAGGTACATATTATTTTCACATATATGTATATACATGTATATATATATGGTATATTTTTGTGTATATTTACAAGAAGATTTTTTTTTTAATTTTATATAAAAAATTTCAACAATTTCAACAGTTTGGAGCGTTCAACAGGCCAATGGCAAGTCCAAAAGCTTAATAATTGGTAACATTGAAAATATGAAATTTTTTCTTTAAACTTAAAAACAAACGCGCGCATGACTAATTTGTACACTTGAGATAGTGAGAGTAAAGATACACGTAAAGATATATGGATATGGAGTGTGAAACTGGGGAAGGGAACGACAAAAGAGGCGGATGTGGGCGTACGAGTACGAGTATATGAAATAATTTTTTATACAAAATGCATTCGGAGTGTGGGTCGTTGTTCATTGATGATGCTCTTGGCTGATAGCGTTACAAAAAGTGCGCTCCGGCTTTTTATGACTTACAATTACACAAACAAATAAAAAAGTGTGATTTAATAAGCGCACTTGTAACTTGTCTATGTTTATATTCCTGTATGTGTGTGTGGATTTGGTGGCAGAGAAGACCGCCTTGGATGGGGGCAGTTATCAGATATCAGTGCTGTCGCATAGTTTGCGGTTGCTGGTTGCTAAAATAGAATTCCCCCAACGCTGCTTAGTCCCAGCCATGTCCATGGCTGACTGGCACCCAAACCTTCTCCCAAATTGGCTTCCACACCTTTTTCCACTCTTGCACCTATAGTGGGGATATTAGTTAGTCAAGGAATTATTACATATTATTTCAAATATGCAGTGAGTGCCGCTTACCTTAACCTCCTTCCACACAGGCACCTTCACCGACTGCCATTCATCCTTGAAGGCTTGCTTCTTTTCTGTGGCCCACACTTGCTTTTTCTCAGTGCGCCAGATTTGCACCTTCTCTTCAATCCATGTCTCACGTTTCTCCTTGATCCAAATTTGTTTCTTCACCGTCTTCCACACTTGCACCCATTCGTCCTTCCATTCGAGTTTCTTGTCCTTGACCCATTCTTGTTTCTTTTCGATTTTAAAGTCTTGCACTTTGTCGGTGCGCCATTCCTGTTTCTTTTCTGTGTGCCATTCTTGCTTCTTCTCAGTGCGCCAAATCTTCTTCCACACAGGCTTCCAAATCAGTTTTTTGCGCCACAGATCGTGACTGGTGTATTCCCAGCCCTCGTGATCTTTGCCGAGGAACTTTTCACCGGGAATACCCATTTTAACCTAACAAAAGTTATCCGTCAGCTATCTAGAATTATTGTGTTCCCATTGCCCTTTTCTCACCCATTGTGGCTCAAACATTTGCTTCCAGTCTGCAACTTGTACATCTTTCCAAACTGGAACTTGAACTTCTTTCCACACTGGCACCTGAACCTCCTTCCAGATAGGCACCTGTTGTTTAATAATTATTCATTAAACATATCCTGTAACCAATTGATTAGTGTGGCTCAGCTTACCTTAACTTCCTTCCAAATCGGCACTTGCACTTCGCGCCAAATTGGTTTTGTTACCTTCTTCCAGTCAGCTACCTTGACTTCCTTCCAGGCAGGCACCTCACGTTCCTCGATCTAATGTGCCAGATGAAGATTGTAAGTTAAGTTTTTATTTTACAAGCTAAATTGATGAATGACTATTTTACCTTTGGCTTCTTTACTATTTTCCAATCGGGAACTTGCTCCTCTTTCCACACGGGCACCTACAAAACTTGTTCAATTAAAATCTAGTGACTTTTATTTTCTGCAAACATTATACCTTAACTTCTTTCCAAATAGGCACCTGAATCTTCTTCCATTTAGTTTCCCAGGCTAAGAACAATGACGGATTTCAAAATATTAAAAATTTTAAAGGATTTGAAATGTCGGTTTCAATTAAAGTATTGTACCTTCTTTCTTGACTGTTTTCCAAACGGGAACCCATTCCTCCACCCACTTCAACTTTTTCTTCCAAACACCTTCGGGTGGATGTGCGTATGCTAAGCTAAGGACAAGCGCGCAGCTGGCGCCGAGCAGCTGCGTATAAGGAGGAACAATTTTTAATTCACATTATTATTATGTTTCATATTTGGTTTTTCACTTTTTCCACACATTAGGCATTTTTTGCCATTTTTCGATAAAAACTTCAAAAATAATTAAATATTTTATGGTTTTATGTTAAGTACACATTGAATAGTTCTTATATTAAATATTTATTCTGCATCATTTTTGATGAATATCATTGGATGTTATTTTTAGCTATTTGTCATTAATTTTTGAATTTTTCAATAATAGCAAATGTATTTGATTTGTCATTATATTTTTAACAGCACATTTCACATGACATTTTTAAATGCCTCGAAGGACATTTCATTAACATTTATTTCCACTCAACACTAACCAATAAACTGAGGGATCTCATGCTTGTAATCCCTTTACCACCAACAGCGCGATTAAAACAACAGAGCTTGAGGTTCCTCCGCTCTATGAACACTATTCGCATTTCCCTCAATGCACATCTATTTATATTTTGAATGAAACACAACTGTGGCGGCAAAGAAACGCAGCGCTGCGACGGCGCAGCAGCAGCAGCAGCTCCACCACCACTAACAACAACTATTTGGCTAAAAACTGTAACCGCCAACTGGTGGAGCTGCTAAATCAGCTCTTGTTGTTGTTGCTGCTGCTGCTGCGGTTGCTGTATGCCAGTTGTGCGTGTGTGTGTGTATGTGTGTGTGTGTGTGTGTTTGTATGGGGACACGGACACGGTCGAGGTGCAAAACTCTCAGCGCGAGCAAAACAAAAACGCGCTCAAAACGCTCACTTGTCGCCCATGTGCAAAATGCACGCAATGGCAAAGCCAGCGTAGACGTTGGCAGTGACGCCAGCAGCAGCAGCGACGTCGACAGCGGTAACGGTTGAAAGCGAAAACAACGGAGAGTGAGAGTTTCGGCGAGAGATCGCTGAGTGGTTTGCACCAAAAGTTGCGACTGCGTCTCCGTCTACGTCCGCGCTGACTGACGAATTGGATGATGATGACTACGCGGATTTTCCCAAGGTAAGGCAGCGAAGCCTAATCTTCAAGCGCAAACAAAAATTTCGTCTCTCGTTGGCCGCGTCGTGCGCACTTTGGCTTGAAGAAGTTTCGCATTGCCAGTGGTTTTCTTCCACTTGTCGGACACTTTAGCCAAGAGGTAGAATGTGCAAACGGAGCTTGCAATAATTAGGCAGTTGTTGCTGTTATTGTGTTAATGATTTCCTCGTTTACGCCGCTTATCTCCTGCAGTTCTGCGACAAGGTCAACTGCGGCCTGTGGGTGCCACGATCGCCATGGGCGTTTGGTTAAGTGCTGTAAGCACACGAGACCTTAACTTTATGGATTTTGTGGCTTTCGAGTGCCGAAATCCTTAAGTATGTGCGCGACTAATTACCAAAACCACAGCCTAATGGTACGACTATGTAAGCCATGTTGGGCAACAATTTGTATATATACTATATGTACTTATATACCTGCATACTATATATTATAGTACATAAAAGTTTACATGTTTGCCAACTTGATTAAAATAGCAAATGTCTAAGAATGCTTGCACACACTTGAGCTGTTCTGATTAATAATTCATATTTACTATTAATTGATTATTGTGATATATCTACTATATATGCCGTTTTAGGGTTGCAAATACAAGTATGTGTTTAGCTTATATGTACTATAAATAGTTTTTAGCAACAAAACATACACGTCCATATTTTTTCAATATTTTTTTAAAATATCTCTGTTACAGTAGCCGACTCGAGGGATCATTTTTGCTTATTATCTGTGACTTTATAAGAGTATTGCATTAATTATTCCTTGTTAATAAATTCATATAACAGGAAAGTTACATTGGCCCGTTCAGTAAAGAGAAACTTTGTTCACTCCTATGAAACTTTAGAATGAACATAAAAGTTATCGTACTACTGCACCATATAAAATTGTGAGGCTATATATATTTTAATCATAGATAGAAACAAAGCGTACGCAACAAATAAAATCGACCACACCTTCATTATTGTGGTTGGATTGGTTCAAGTTTTTCTGTTGATTATATGTATAAATTATTATTTCAATCTAAATTTTAATTTCTGACCACCCCCCTCCCCCCAGTTGAAAAAAGCTGCGTACGACCTTGGATAGAAAGGTTGGACTATTATTATGGGCAGACAGGCATGTCTAGGTATATCGAAAAATAATATGATAATAATCTTTTTTAATTTGTTATGCGAAAAATTTATTATAAAACTCTTAAGCCAATGTGTGGGAAGATATCATTATAATTAAATTATTCGAATTTATGGTAGTTTACTTAGTTTTAAAAAATATTTAGTATTGCGTTTAAATTTTTTTTAATTACTTTGACAGCTCACACATTGTTCATTTAATTAATTAAAAAATAAGGCATTCAAATGTATGGCCAGCCAAACATTATATGGGAGGCAAAGATTTCTTCAAAAATGATTAAAATAAAATAAAATTACATTTGTTATAATATGAGCTATTGAAATAGGTGTATTGTTAAACAATTTTCTAATATCTAATGCGAAACAATGCGAACATTTTCTGAATATCTCCCCATAGAGCGAAACTGTGTACAAAGAAAACTTTTTTTTTTTTGGTTCCAGTCGATTGGCTTGTGCTTTACTTAAGCAATTTCTGGTATTCATGTAATATCTTTCTCAATAATACGAGCTGACCCACTCAACAACTGCAACAACTAAGAATAAATGTTTTTCAAAAAATTAAATCGCAAGAAATTGAACTTATCTGTTACCTTATCTGTTTAAGATTCCAAATGCAGCTTAATAAATTTCATTCCATTATTATCACACTAATGTACTGTTAATAAAATTAAAGATTTAGGTGGCCCGCATAAACCTTTGGCTACTGTTTACATTTGTAAACTTGTTTCGACCATTTATCCAAATTAGCGACGTGCATGCACTTTATATGACATCATTAGCTATGCACAGAGCTGCTGCTGAACTTGAGTGCAAACAATTAGCACAGTTGGGTAAAAAAATGTCATAAAAATTGCTACGCTTTGGTTTTGCCTTTGAAAACAGAATTCGCAGACCCACTCGCACGGAGTCGGAGCTCAACAAGTAAGTTAACAAAGTGCCATTTATGGAGGGACAACTTGCGAGTGACCTCCGCGGCAGGCAGCATTAAGACATAAAACTATGATGATGGCGCTGGCGGTGGCGAAGAGCTGCGCTTCGCTGGCTCTTGGCACGCCAGCAACCCCGAAACATATAAGCGGTATTAGTGCTTGGGTGTAGTTTGGTAGTAAATACCGTTTAAAATTTTTAGCACGCTAATAAGTTGCGTGTTTTATGAAGACGCACAAAACCCAAAAAGAGGCCATTAGAGTTTGATAAATGTGCCTGCACGCTTGCGGACAAAGACATAGAGCAGGCCATTGGCCAAGTCTGGCACTAGAGCGGGGTGCTGCTGGTAAGCTCTGGGGGCTTACATCAAGAACACCTTTCCTGCATGCTCATCAGCAATAAACTATATGTCCTTCTGCGTATAATCTAATTTATTGTTGGAAAGTATTAATACACAATTTGGATTTGCTCATCCATGGTCCTCTTTCGCGGTCCACGATAGAAGCACAGCCATTAACTGTGCCAGTAACTATTCAATGTAAATATAAATATATAATTATACATATAAATATAAATAGGGACGGTTTTGATACAAAAACTCTAGTCATGTCCTTCGCAAGCTCGATATTTCTAAAGCTCTGCAGATAAAAGTGATTAAAACTGGCAGACAAGCTGACGAAAATTGCTAATTGGTTAAGTCAAGTTAATTTTCTAATAACCTTTTGCTATAACAAGCTAACAGGCGAAAATAAATAAATCCCCAAATTTCTGTTTCTTTTTCAATATTGCTTATTTGTTTGGCTTAGTTCTTACTCTAGTATACTCTTGCTAAAATGCATCAAAACACTTCGGGCCTTTTGAATTTAAAAAGAATTTACAGCTGTATCTGGAATTTGTTTCAATTTAAGCAAAGGGAAAACCCAGGGGGCAGAAAAAAAAATAATTTGCCAAAAAAAATGTTGCAATCTAACATCGACCACACATTCTTTGGCGCACTATTTCGCCAAATAATAATAAATAAATAAATTTCTGATAAATTAAATTAAAATATTGTGGCCGCCCTTCTCTGCGATTCTCATACCAAGTACCTAAGCGCTGGCAAATCGAGAATTAAAGTGTGGAATTTCTAAAAAATTAAATAATAATATTGTGGAATTAAATTGTGAATTTTCTGAAAAATTCAATAAAAATATTGTGGCCGCCCTCCTCTGCGATTCTCATACCAAGTACCTAAGCGCTGGCAAATCGAGAATTAAAGTGTGGAATTTCTAAAAAATTAAATAATAATATTGTGGAATTAAATTGTGAATTTTCTGAAAAATTAAATAATAAATTTGTGGGTTTAAATTGTGAAATTTCTGAAAAATTAAATACAATTATTGTGGCCGCCCTCCTCTGCGATTCTCATACCAAGTACCTAAGCGCTGGCAAATCGAGAATGAAATTGTAGAATTTTTAAAGAAATTAAATAATAAATTTGTGGGTTTAAATCGTAAATTTTCTGAAAAATTAAATACAATTATTGTGGCCGCCCTCCTCTGCGATTCTCATACCAAGTACCTAAGCGCTGGCAAATCGAGAATGAAATTGTGGAATTTTTAAAGAAATTAAATAATAAATTTGTGGGTTTAAATTGTGAAATTTCTGCAAAATTAAATACAATTATTGTGGCCGCCCTCCTCTGCGATTCTCATACCAAGTACCTAAGCGCTGGCAAATCGATAATTAAATTGTGAAATTTCTGAAAAATTAAATACAATTATTGTGGCCGCCCTCCTCTGCGATTCTCATACCAAGTACCTAAGCGCTGGCAAATCGAGAATTAAATTGTGAAATTTCTGAAAAATTAAATAATAAATTTGTGGGTTTAAATTGTGAAATTTCGGGTAAATGAAATAAAATTATTGTGGCCGCCCTCCTCTGCGATTCTCATACCAAGTACCTAAGCGCTGGCAAATCGAAAATTAAGTTGTGAAATTAAATAATAAATTTGTGGAATTAAATTGGGAAATTTCTGGTTTTGTATATTTCCTATGATTTGGTAAAGCAAAGGGTCCATTAGGTTGGTGCGTACGTGTTGACAGAAAGTTAGCCTACATTATCAATGCCTCAAGGCGAATCGAGAATGCGTTCTTTTCCCCTACATATACTTGTAGTATATAGTGTGTACAAAAATGCCGCCAGCATGCGCGAGCAAGAAGGCCTTGGACTCTGCTTGGAGGTGCTCTTGGAGCTACTCGTATTTGTCCACTTGGCTTCTTGGCTTGGCTTTGCGTAAGACAA